TTCGATTGCCCCTCGAACGTGCCGAAACCTGCACAGCAGTGTGTAATTGCATACCAGCCAGCACACGTAGCCTCATCAAATATAAGCACGGGATTATCACGACAGAAAACTTGCTCTCACCATTCCAAGTATAGCAGGTTGACCCGACATACCGGCATCTGGTATCTGGAAACGAGCCACTTATGTCTAACTTGAGTTCGGATTCAAACCGCGGACCCGAGATCCGAGGTGGCCAAGTCGGGAAATCCTTGTGACATGCGCCTATCCGCCGCATCCCCGGCGACGCCGGATTGCTGTCCAATAAACTTAACCGCATTTGTTGATACTCGAACCATATTATCGCAGATAAGCCCCGATGACAGCAACGGCAATGCAGCCTGTTCAACTTAGTTACCTATCTATCATCTCGTCCCTTGCATAATATAACCTGTCACCGCCTAGCAGCGGTTAACAGGTCACTAATCATAAGCATCCAATAGAGGATCGCTATCATTAAGCCCCGAGTTTTCATATATATATCAACTGCACGGTCAAGCAGGGGTCAAGTTGCCCATCCGCGACACGACGCGATAAGATGCAAGTTTTCCTAAGATTCAAAAGGATGAGTATCGCATCCGCCCACAGTCACGTACACTCGAGCTGAAAATTGTTGTCGACGCGTAATCCTTTTTTTTTCGTAACCCACAGATGCAGCGCTGGGCACTGCATGTCGCATACGAGAGGCTCAACACTACTCCGATCGGAAGCCCGTCATGTAACAGTCAGCGCATCGTATACGAAGGTACTCCCAGTTTGCGGTGATGGTTTCTTTTCATCGCGAATATAAATATGAATTACATGTTTATAATAAGCTAAGACTCTAGATGCCGATAATATAATTACCGCTACACAAGATATGGTTAATATGCACTTATAATATATGTTCCACCAAGCGCCTCCTTCTCGCTCGGGAAGATAATACTAATCAGGAGTCATTCTTTCGGCATCTCAATTGATCGTCACCCCGATTACAATGCTTCTCGTTCCGGATCTAATTTAGATCGTGTTAGGATATTAGTTCGACTTGATCGTCCCAAGTCGAAGCTGCCTTGTGTGAACCTTACCATGTTGAATATTCTCGCGTTGGTCCTATTCTCGTTCGATAGGGAATAACCCCCCGCGACCATTCGCGCTTATTGGGGAAGAAATGGCTACATCTTGAAGCTAGCATGTATTTGGTAGTTATACTTATTACTAGGATCGATAAGACCCCTAAGTCGTAGGAATACGACTACTGGCGATAACATGACGATTACTTATAATTCACTTATTCTAAGGTCCTGTTATGAACCGATAGGTTTTAGATTATACTCATTAACTACCTAGGTAAGTAAGCTTCGTATTCGGGCCAGTAGTGTCATGCATCCCATGTAGACCTCAGTCTAGCCCCCTCACCCGTCTGTCCTACCAACGCATCAAGCCCAAGCACAAACATATCTATAATCGGGTAGCCAACCCCTTACCTGGTACTTCCGGTCTCCGCACCCCCAGCAAACGGATCTGCGTCCGGGTCCGTGTTCCGGACGTACTCGGACGCGTTCGCCAGCATCTGCGCGACGTCGTCGCCGTACCGGTCCGCGACGAAAGCGTACATCATGTCGATCCCCGCCGAGATCCCCGACGACGTCCAGATGTTCCCGTCCGTCACCCAGCGCGCTCGGCGCACCCAGTTCACGCGCGGACCCTGCGCCGTGGCCTATAGGCGGTTTTTCTACCGTCAATTGCGTACTGCCTAGGTGGGGAGGGAAAGGGGGTGAGACGGGGGGCGGTTGGTTGGCAAGGAGGAAGGCGGGAGAGAAGACAAAAGAAAAGAAAGAGAAGCACGAACCCACTCCCACGCCCTCTTGTTCGACGTGGCTCGTCGTCCGTCTAGAATACCTGACGTAGCCGCCACCGCGCTGCCCGTGCACACCGTCAACAGATACCTCAAGCTGGGGTACGCCTCGCGCACGAAGTCGACAACGGGGGCGACGTTGGCCGGGTCGCGGGAGCCGAAACCGCCCGGGACGAGGAGGACCTCGATATCGTCGAAGCCGTCGGCGTAGGTGCGCGTCGGCGCGACGGACTGGCTGGTAGTGTGGCCTGTGAACGGGGTTGCCGTGGGGACGGGGTCCAGCGTCGTGGATAAGATTTCCAGGATTAGGGGGCGGGTTTTAGACAGCATGTTCAGGATGTCGAGGGGTCCGAAGACGTCTAGGGCTTGGAATCCCGGGAACAGGGCTACCGCGAAGCGGGTTGGAGGATCGCTGGTATTGGATGACATGGTTTGGCTTCTTTAGTAAGGAGGGTTGTTTGCTATGGTGTTAGGGTGTAGTGTAATAATCGACGTATCACGAGCGAGGTAATTTATGATGCCCAGTTATATCGCAATAGCCGCCTTGGTAGTCAAGGTAGGCAGTTATGTCTAAGCGTAGACGACGATGCGAAGAGTCGCCAAGGGATCGCAACCCGGGGTCGGGACCGGCAGCCAGAAGCTGAGTAATATGGAAGTCCCGACGGGGATTAGTGTGGCTCTACTAGATCGCTGCACACGTTTTAAAAATCTTAAAACGATTGGGAGAAGCTGCTGCCTGGTACGACTTTCCGAGATGCGGGTAGCTGCTATCTTGGACAGAGCCGAGATGATTTGTGTTAGGTAATAAGCTTATACGAATATACTTAACTAAATATCAGGTGTTAGGTAACTTGTTTTTAAAGAAAGGACTATGCGTATTTGCTCTAGTGGGCTTTTATATTCTTGCTTAAATAAATATTCTCTTTCGTATCACGATACCGAAACTACACAAGTTATTTGGGTCTGAGATGGCGGTGTTACTCCATCATAGTATTACCAGGCAACTTGATCTAGCGAATGTATATTAGTAGCGACAGCAAATAGTATTGTCTTAAGAAGGAATGTCGGGTATATCCACCAAATCTGCCTTGCTTGCTTAGCCATGTGATCAAGCCGGTATAAAATCCCAGAGTCCACGACACGCAGTGAAAAGAGGAGATAAATACTAGACGTAGTTGTCTAGTTCATGGGTTTCCTGCGACTTCCATGCCACTTATTTTCCAAAGTAACTCTGGTCGACATCCCCCTGACTCGTACCAATCTGCACCTGGTAGACATAGCTGTCGACCTGGACATCCTCGCCGCCGTATATGCCAAACTTGGGGTCGCTCTGGCCTGGAAACGTGTTCCCGGTGAGCGTCTGGGACTTGGTAGTGTCGAACGTTACGGGCTTGCCGTTAAACCATAGCTTGACGTGGCCGCCCTTCGCTTTAGCACCAATCTCTAGACCGATCTTGTATATAGTCCGCGGCTTGACATCTTGCGACCACTGGACCTTGCGGCCGTGCTCTTTCCACACACTGGTATGCGTGAACTCTAACTTGCCCTTCTTCAGCTCTAGAGCGAGAGGGATGTTGGCGCCCTTATCGTGGTCGTTGTTGGCTTTGTACTCTTTCCATTGGAATACGATGAGGCCGTCGGGTAGTTCCTAGGGCATTCATTAACGGACTCGAAAAGCTTACGTCGACGCCCCATTTACGTAGAGATGCCGACTCTTAAGGGATGAATACGAAACCACTCTACTAACCTCAAGTGCGAAGCTGTAGGTAATAAAATACGTCGTTCCAGATTTAGTCTCGCCCTTGAGCGAATGGTATTCAGCTCTATTGAAACAATTAAGTTAGTCTTGATCCCAAACGAAGAATCTTCATTGAGCATCCCTACCTGCGATAGCCAGCTTTATGGTGAAAGTGTGCGGCCTTCGTTCCTTTCCAGTCCTTGTCCAACTTGATGTATAAGTCTTTGGTGTTCTGTTTGACCTTGTCCCCCTTTCCTTTCTCCAGGTTGAGAAGTCCGAGTTTCTTAGGGTCGTCACCACGTGCGGCACTGAAATCGACGAGAGGCGGCCTACGAGCAGCAAGGGTTGTTGGTATCGGCTCGCCTCGCGCCGGCTGTGTAGAGAATCCTAGGAGGAGGAAGCTAATTAATAAACGAGTCAACTGCATATTGATCTATTGAATTAGGTCGCCAACGATACTACTTAGGGTTGAGTTGATCATATGATTCAAGAAAGTGAAATGAGGGATGTGCCACGAATTTATACTACACAACCTCAGCTACAGCCCTATCCCAGCTGCAATAATTCCATGCCGAGAGGTGGACTAGATCCATAGATTGATGACTTTCTGCAAAAGTGCCTAGGTTAGATATTCAATTAAGTCTCGGGGTTGAGCTTTATACGTAAAAAATAGGTAATGAGGCGCCATTCGGATTGTTTTCTCGTCAGATAGCAAGGTACCAAATTATTGTTTCCATGGCACCCGAATGGGGATATTTCGCGACATATCTCTACATACGGCATAGGGGTTAACAAATAATACGATGGAAAATGGTGGATATGATGACAATGATTTCGGACTAGCCATGGTATTCTCCAACTTGCGATAAGTCTCCTATTTATTGAAGATTTATTATTAATGATTACGACATCTCAGTATCAAGATTGACGCAATTAGATAATAATTCATCGAGCCGCCCTATGATTCCCGTTTCGGTACGAAAACACATGCTATCCACTTGGGCATATATATCAAGGTACCTAGACGACATCATACTAAGATGATTAATACAAGGGTGAATCACGTATCAAAATAGTCATGTAGCTATCTCCAGTTCTGGTAATAATTATCTAGAAAGATCCTATCCTGTCGGACCTTGTCACATATAGAGGGATTTTAACCTGGAGTTATTAGTCGACTATAGGACGTTCTCATAGGTATTATGTGGAAGGCATTTACCTACTTACGAGCCAGGATCCATGATATCAAATGACGAGGGACAGTTAATGAAAGGAGTTGATCAAGTAAAGTAAAACTACATCTCGGCAAGAGGTGCGTAAGTAAGTAAGTATAGCAGCAATGTATAAGAAGGATATAAAAAAAGGATTAAAAAAAAGGAAAAGCTAGAACACCTGCACCGGGATTCGAACCCGGGTTCCCGGCTATCTGACTGAAGAGTCGGAGGCCGATAAGTTAACCACTACTACATGCAGGCTATTTGTAAGGTCCAGTATGGAAGTTATGTCCAAACATCTACACTATTCGACCTTTTTTGGCCTACCGAAATTACTGTTCATATGTCTCCTGATCTTCTGATATTTTACGGGGGTGCCGCAAGAGAAGTACCCAAGGCTGTGTACGGTCTGTCTACCTCTTACTATCTTCTGGACAGAGGAAGGTACAGATTAATAATTAACGCAACTGATTGTAGAAAAGTATCAACTTCCCTCAATTGAATCGCTAGGGGGGTTTGGATGTGTCAATGTACGTCGATAAACACTCAGGCCACTTCATAAAGTGAACGAAGAGCTTATTAAAAGATTTATCGCGCCAAAGTACCTAGGTAGGCATGTGACCCCTAAGACTATTTGTTCCTATCTCAGTTTAAAATGATGCGAGAAGGAACATTCAAGGGCTTAAAAATTATACCACTTAGAAGTAAGTAAGTACGTACCTATGTACCTACACACACTCTTGTGTACCTACATAGGTCGTAGTTGCGTTTTGTAGTCGATGCATAAGGGTATCGCTGTTGTAGGAAGCCATGTCCCCGCCAGATCAACGGGAAGGAAGTGCTTCCATTAGAAGAACACATTGGGTTAGTACCTACCTGGGTATCTCTAAAGTACCTACCTAGCGTTACGATATAAAAGGGGTGTATGGTAGGTAGGTGCTTTTATTATCTGAAGAAGATATCTAGGAAGGAAGGAAGAATATAGATGGGAGGAACTTTGTGACAACTCTGCTTAAAGTAGCAGCTGCGAACGACTAAGAATATTTCTTAACATTGCTCGACCATAATAAACGAATCATCAACAAGAAATTTACAAAGCTGGTCAATAATAAACATATCTCTATAGCTATCAAATATCACTTTTTCACCTTTTATCAACCTAGAAACCCGCCGTCATCGCCTATCTCCTTATACAAAGCTCGATCCAGATTGGGACCAGACAGAAATAGCAACTTATTAAAGAGACACATTTATTACGAAATAAGAGCCCCTTCCTGAGACTCTTCCCCAGATACGCTGTAACCGCTATTAATATCGAAAAGAAGCGTTGACCCCCGCAGGCTATGGACGAAAATCATCAAACTAACGCGGCGGACCGCTCTATGAAGTGCGCGGTTTGCTTTGACCATACCCGAGAGTTACGACAGATGCAATGCGGAACTATCTGGTGTCGGCCCTGCTTGAAACAGTATCTGGATGATAAGCTGAACGAGGTTTCCCAACTGCCCGGATGCTGTGGGGTTACGTTCCGATATGGGGATATTGCGTGGCTAAACTCGAGTAGGCTCCTGATATTTTTTCAAAGAGCAGCTCTCAGAGAGAGAAAAGGGCCACCCCTTTACTGCTCGGAGCCACGATGCAGCGCCGTTCTCAACCTTAAAAATACGGTCGAGGGAAGCGATATCGTTATATGTGATAGATGCAATTCCAAAACCTGTCAAAATTGCAAGCAGTCTCATGAGCCTACTGGTTCGAAGTGCGAAGACCTCCCTCTACATGATACCTTGAGGCCCATAGCCGCCGAGGAAGGTTGGAAAAAGTGCCCGGGTTGTAAGATTATGGTAGCCCATCAGGGGGGGTGCGAGCATATGGTGTAAGTTTACAAAGCACATTTCCACTATTTATCTGAGTATATGTTTAACGTACTTAATTTACCTTTTTGGTTTTATAGATGCGTTTGCGGATGTGAATTCTGCTACGGTTGTGGCAGGACATGGGCGACCTGCGTTTACAGGATGATTTACCTAAAGCAGGATACCACTGAGACCGATGTATGCAATGGAAGAGATGAGGTCTTGGTAGTTGAACTAATTTGAAAACAATTTAGTTGAGTGACGAAGACTTTAGAAAGTGCGTGGAAATTCATCTTCACCGAGAACGGCAAGAAGTAAACGAATCATTGTAGCACCATGGTCATGGACATCCACCACCGTTACGGCGAAGGCAACGGCCGCTGCCACTGCCACTACAGACGCCACCGCCACCGCCAATGCTGCGGGCCACGGGACCTCGCGGACATATTGATGCAATACACGAGCAACCACGAGAGACTTTGCGGAGGCGAAACCGGGCATCTATATTAAATCCACTACGTTTGCTCCCTTTTGGAGTCAGGACAACTTCCACAACATCTATAATAAGGGTATTGCGGTCTTACTACGTGCTACCCGGGACCACACTTTTGTTGTTTCAACTTCCCCCCGAAGAAACTTAGCATGGGGACCCTAAAATTCCTAATGCCGGACAGCCGCCGCCTTAACAAAATCAATACGTCGGACTAGGAGCTCGGAGATTTGATACTTGGGCCTAGGACCCTGAGGAATAAATTTGTTGCATGGGCACCTATTTATATAGCTTCTCTTAATGTAGGTGCCTACCTATTTGTTTCGCCCCTGTCATTTCTTAGGCACTTACTATTGCAAAAGAGGCATGAGAAAGAGCTAACTAGGCATTTTAGGGAGCTCGAGAAAAATGCGGTGGTTTCCAACAAAAGATTTAGCGAAGTATGAATTATTCAACAGCGCTTTCACATGGATGGCCTGGATTTATAATGATAGCTCTTTGTAGGAGGAGTGGAAATAATGTCTCCATGGTAGCGAACGATTATAGATGCGGATATCAATACAATCGATGAGTTTAATGCGAAAATCATGCTATGCCTATTAAGAGAATGAGCGAGAAGGTATCTTGGGAATAGGAGACGGAAGAAAAGAATAAAAAACAAGTTAAATGAAATAAACCGGATGGCTAGTAAAAAGTGAAAAAAAGCTAGCTTCACTCCGTTTCGATCGGAGGTCCTCCGGGTTATGAGCCCGGCGCGCTTCCACTGCGCCATGAAGCTTAGACTGAAGAGTCCACAGAAAAGTTTTCCTAGGATTCGCGGTTGAATGTAACCGTGCAATTACGACCTATAAGTCCACTACGTTTAGTCTGCATTTCTTTTCTTTTTTTTTTTTTTTTTTTCTTGGTAACCGTCTGAATTTAATTTGAGCAATTATTTGTTATTTATGATTTTTAAGTGTTTACCCTGTTGCTTTTGTGGTATTATTTTGTGCGCATATGTAGGTACTTAACTAAGGTTGAGCGAGGTGGGATGTATTGCGCCGTGTACCTTACCTTATGTCTGAATATTGGCATTTCTCTGCTTGAAATTTCGGGGATATGGAATCCCCAATAACATGTTACGAAATTTTACTCTACGCAAACCCGAGGGTGCATCATCTTAGGAATACCTAGAGAGAATAAGACATCGAATTGCTGGAAGTAATATTACCTAACTTAATCATCACCAGAAACCTCCGTTCTGTTATTACATACTTTGTGCAGCAAGGTAAGGTCAAGCCAGGCTAGCTAAAGAGGTAACCTAGACGTCTCGCACAAGTCCCAAGTTAAATGCGCTCTCAACAGGGATTTATTACAGTATATCTAAGCATCTAGGTAGGATCGATCAATCACATCCCCTTCGGAAACGTATGTAACCTAACCAACCTAACGTAACCCCTTTCTTTCCCTCCTCCGCCCGGGGACGGAAAGAAAATGCAAAATAAATAAAGAGGTCGAAGGCATCACCGCGAAAACAATAGTAGAAAAAAAAAAGCGCATGATACCGTTCCGATAGATTTCCTCCCGACTCCGCCCCGAAACAACTAAACCCGCCTCCGTGCCTAATCCGTGATAAGTTATCCGTTTCGTCTACTCTGCTCCGTTGTTTACCTATGTGACGAGCGGGCAGGTTTGCTCTAGTCGTTACTCGAGCAGGGCTCGAGGATTTTTTTTTCAAAAAATGGGGGTTCTTAAAGAAAGGAGGCTATAGTGTCATTACAACTCCGTTACTAGCATTAAACGTGTCCTCCTTTCTATCTACGTGAAAAAGAGGATGGTTGGTGGTTATGGCTATGGCTATGGTTGGAAAGCCGAGAGCAAGGTTATGTGGGTATGCGTGGGCCTATAGCGAGTTGAGGAAAGCTTCTGGCTTCTCGCTGGCGCACGTGAAGAGATTAATATGGTAGTCGCCGCGTGCCGCACAGCCTAGGACCATGCGGTGCGGGTGGAAGGCAGTAGCAGAGATGGGCGAGCCTCGGTTTTGTTGTAGGAAGCTGGAGTAGGGCTCCATACGAGAAAGCTCGTTGCCGTCGAAGTTGAACACCTTCACGGTATGGGCGGACGTGCCACTGAAACATTGTTAGCATATAATTCACATATGATAAGTAATCAATTGGTGACTTACACAGAGAATACTGGCAAGTGTTCATGTGTACTTGCTGTCCGGAGAGTATCGCGGGTTGCTTGGATAACACGGAGCGGCGAGTCCATGCGAATATCCCAAAGCTTTACTTTCCCGTTTCGGCTCGCGGAAAGTAGCTCGCGCTGCCCCCCGCGCTGCATGTGCACATCTTTAATCCACTGTTGATGGGAGTCGTCCTTCCATTTCTTCACCATTGCCTCATGCGGTCGGAGTCGGGTATCGAAGACTCTGATCGCACCGTCCCCAAATCCGGCAACAAATATGTTGCCAGTCATCTGGTCTGATGTTAACGAAGTAACACAAGAGCCCGAGCGTGCCGGTATGTCCATAATGCAGGTTTCATACGCAGCGGCCCAAACCCGAATGACACGGACGTCTCCTGCAACAAGCACGTTGCCAGTCACCTGTTGCCAGTCGAAGACCATACCAGAATTGACGTTACTTGGAACCATATGAGTCAGTGCCCTCCAAGACGATGCTAACTCGGTCTTCTTGGGTGTATCGTAATTGCGATAGACACGGAGCACACCGTCGGATGAACCCGTCATTAAGAATGCTGTGTCATCCTCGTTAATAAACGTCATATCGCTAATCTCCGAGCCTTCGGGATTTCCATTTGAGAATTTGTGTAGCCTGCTCTGCTTTTTCCAATCCCAGATATAGACGGTGTTTCCGTTGTCGGCCACTGCCAGGTGATCTTCGTATTGGTGGAACGTCATCTTGGCTGGCTGGGCAC